GCTGAGGTGAGGTATTACATAGCGAGCGAACGTCAAAACAAACGAAGTGTCTGGTTACTCGAAAAGGCAATCTCGAGTCCTCGGCCACATATTTGTGCGAACTTCTCTCCGCCATTTAAATATTAATACCACAAGGCGAACTGTAGGTAATAAATAAACAAAAATAATAATGCCCCAAGGGCGAACTGTAGGTAATAAATAAAAAAAAATGAACAATAAACAAATGTATTTCATGCATTTCCTGACTTTCTCACGGAAAGCGTAGCCACAACTTTATTTATTCTTGAGCGCTGAAAACGTCTGCCGCGGAAGAGGTATGTAGCACTAATGTAAAAAGTGATGACATGTGAATAAGCCCAATAGTGACACACCAAAAACAAAGATACAGTTCAGAATATTCCTTCGACGGCAGACGAACGTTTTGTGATAATCGGAATAAACGTGCTTTGATAAGTAAGCCCTTGGGAGCAAGAACACAATGTAAGGGTTACAATAGCTCAACAACAGAAGAAAAAACTCAGTTTGTTGAGTGCCAGCCTGGTGGAAAGAAACTGTTAACCAGTGCACCGCGCAACTTTTTGCGATCTGATAGGGTGTCAATTATTGTCGGAAAGATCGTTTGAGTTCTGGATGGCAAGAGGAAGTGCTGAGGTTTTAAAAGGATGGATGCTGAACGAAATATTCGCTGGAAGCTTTCTCTGCTTTTTACGAAAAGAATCCGGTGGTTCTTAATAAAATAGAAAGAAAGAGAGGCAGAGAGACAGAGAGACAGACAGAGAGAGGGGGGGGGGGGGGGGGAGCAACGCTATAAAAAATATCAGGACGGACTTAGCCTTGCCGTTGGAGCTGGCATTGCCCCGCTTGGCAGTGGTTCCAAAAGAGGTGAACTGGACTGACCGAAGTTTTGAAGGAACCGATGAAGTAAGCAAAAGAGCGAGATTAGTCGACGAGTTTGGAGAGGATGAATGAACTTACATTGCCTAAGATCTGACACGCTAATAAATCGAGAATGAGACTATATGAATAGCGCGGTACAGTTTTAGACGGGTTCTGAATGCGTAATTCTGTACGTTTGGTGATATCATTAAGTATTGTAGACTAAGGAAAAGAAGGTGCAAGCTTCCGGAGACTAAATAGACACGGAAGAATCTAAGAAAGAGGAAGGAGTGAGCGCTCGCACTGAAAGGATCGAGATGACGGTCGGGTACAGTTCAACGATACCTCCAAAATAAATAATTCATTATTTCCTTCTATTTTAACACAGTTCGCATAATTAAACCGGCTTTTTATTTTTATCGTCACCGTGGAGATCCTTCCTCCATTTACTTAATAAAGGCTTCTAAATATATTAGGCGTATTCCGGTTTCTGGGGCGGACGTGAGTACTATAAGTATGCTTCTGTGTTTTCGGACGAATTCGATAAAATCGAAAAAATACTTCCGGTAAAATATTTTAATATTTATATTTACCCAAAAAAACTCAGATTTTTCAGGACCGCCAACTGCTATGAATCCTACTGGTCTTAATATTTTCCAGGGATCTTCGAACAAGTTTTGCTCTACTTCTCTATATCTAATATTTATTTATTTATTTGAAAAACTGCAGGCCTTTTTCAGGCCTTCGCAGTATCAACTTTCATTTGTACGATCACAAAGAACTTCCGTTTAGCTTCTATTTTAAAAAAAGGGGAATCGTCGAACACGTTTCTCGTTGAAAAGGATACTTTTACTAAATTCACAAACTGCTGTTTTCAACCTTTCGTTCACTTCACCGAAAAAGCCGAAAACCTCTGTACGATGAAAGAAAGCTCCAAAGAACTCCGAATTTATGGTAAAAAATAAGCACTAAACAACACTCCGCGATTTTAAGCAGAAATAAACTCCGAAAACGCAGAATCCTAATTATAAGCTGGATTTCGTATATGTTGGTGCAGCTTTTAGATTTCGTTATAACTTATAGGTAGGGTTCCGTATTTTTGTGTATTCTTTTTTAAATTTAAGGGTGTCTTTGGGTGTTCATTTTTACAAAGTTCTCTGTTTTCGGTATCTATTTCTGGTGTCGACCAGAAATCAGGGTTTATCAGGGCTTACGTCGTAAAAGCTATTGCACATCTATCGCGTTTTTACAACACACAATACTATTCGCGCCAGTTATCACTAAGTGGCCCATGTAGAAACAATAATTGCAGCAGAAGGAAGCAGCCTCGCGGAAAAGGGCGGTTTGTTTTCGGGGTCAACAGAAATAAAGCAATTTTTCCAGTTAACCTGGGGTTTCATTTAATTCAAAAATTTCAGTTCGGAGTTTTTCAGTTTTACCAATTTCAAGAAAAATCCCAAGAAAAAAGGAAGCCAGACATCAGCACAGCGAGTGGTCATACCAAAGAGAATATTTCGCTCCTGATGACTTCAGCGGAGGCAGTGTAGCGATACGATGGTTGTGGAGTTCATGAAAGCCTAATTTAGGCAACACAAAATATGGATCCTTTTTGTTGTAGTTTACTCGACACACTCGCCAATCTGCAAACGACTTTCCAAAAATATCGCATATGTATTGTCGGGTAGTTTTTCGAATACTTGTTCGGAATTCTTCCGCAGATCTGACTTTTTTGCTTCCATATCGCTAGATATGAAAACGCGGAATAATAGTGTTATCGACTTCTTGCAACCAGGAGGCGCTGATACGGCGTGCTCGTCCGCTTTTTGTGCCCGTCTTGCGTTTGTTTGCCTCAAAATGCGCTCACAGGCTGCTTTTACACTCTCCCCCACCACACGCACACACACACGCGCGCGCGTTCACACGCACACGCGCACGCACGGACGCACGCACACACTGACACACACAAACAACGCGTCTCGTCGAATTAACCACCAACACTGGCGCGGGTTTTACTGCCGCGTCAGCACGCTCTCTGCGTGTTCTTTGTGCTGTCCATCAATTGATCTTCCCCCTTTCTGTAGTACTGTTTGAGAAGCTCTGATAACGTAGCTCTATTTTCTATTTTTCACAATTTTATTCATTGCACGCGGAACGCATTTCGGTTTGGCGGGAATTTGCACACGACGTAAAAGTTAAAGGTGAATACGCCACGTGTCGGTAAATAAGTGAACTAGAACAGCTTGTCACAAATTTCTGGCCATGTAAAAAAGATGAGGTGGATATAACTTTTTTGGGGTACTTCTAAAGTTCCGGGCACCGCTACCTACATTGCCTTTTCTGGCTCTCAATATGTCCGTTTCTGCTTAAACTGGAGATTTCGTCATTTAATCAAAACACAACAAAACGAGGATTTAAAAATTTAACACACATAAAATTCAATTACTAGTGCTATAAGAAAAACAAAACGAAAACAGTATCGTTGTTAACACCCAAATCTGAGTTGACTAAAAGAAATAAAGAGCATCACATAAAGCCTCTACTTACTGGAGCTCTCACTTGGACTCTAAATGGCGTCTTTCAGTGTTCGTATTTTTGCGTAAGATAGGCGCCCAATTAAATAAGTAATTAGGTAATTAGGCGCCCACTTAAATCTGCGTGGTACGCAACCGTTTTTTTTATGATTTTCTTCTGTGAACTTCCTGGATTTTATCCAAATTCCAGGAATTGAGAGCATATCAAAATAAATGAAATTCATTTTTATAAAAAATACTTTTTTTTTATTTCAGAGGCGTCTTTATCCGAATTATTTCTGTTTCATATATCTCAGATATAAAACATTGTTGCGTCTTATTTGGCATAGAATGACCTTGAAGATGTGTTCTACACAGATCAGCGAACGGCTTGGTAAATTCCTACTCAATAAAAAAATGTTTTATTGGAGAATCATTTACTTACTAGCCTTGCTGTTTGCGAAAAATCTTGCCAGCCCAAGAATCGTAAGAGCTTTCGCAATTTCTATTAAGAATTTATGATAGCCAAAGAAGCGAAAGCCAGAGCGTTAGGCTCGACATATCCATGACTGTCGAGGTTTTGGTTTTAGGCTTGCCTACGACAATAGCGCCCCTTTTATGAGGAGAACGCTTAACTCTCTATTGACATCGATTCTATTCAGCAGAATACCCCTGCAGGGCATGACGACACAGAAGAGGAGTGGTCTTCTATTTAGCTCGCCAAATGTTGCATTCAGGAGGAAGTTGCGAAAACGTGTCTCATATTACATAGAAAGGGAGAGGGAAGCCTTCCTGTGTTTTTTGTTTGCTTTTGTATGGGCCGTCTCGTTCAGGCATTCGTGCGTCCAGCTTGCTGCGTTTACTATCGCGTTCCATCTATCTATTTACAAGGGCGTTGCAAGGGACACCCAGTTTCGTCTTTGTGTCTACACTCACGCGGCACTGAGATGTTGTCTGGATGGAAATATTTGCATGTCTGCCGGTGCAACTATTCTTCAGATTCCCGTTGGGAAATGTCAACATGGGTTTCTATAGGGTAATGCTCGCTATTGTCGATGAACAGTACGCTACGTTAGACCGGCTCCCTGATTGTCTGCTTGCATGTGCAACACCCGTTTCTGTGTTTTGCTTTTTCTATTTAGGTATAATGCAAAGTAATACAAGTTCTTGAGTCGTGTTGGGTAGAAAACAATAAGATAAAAGTGGTTTAGCATTCCCAATTAGTGAACGAATAAAATACTTTCACTCATTCTCAACAAAGATGTGTTAGAAGCCTCTGATAATCAGCCAAAGTTTCGCTAAGAGAGTTAGCGTAGCATTGAAAAAAATAAGTATTTTAATGGAATTTCGGTTGCCACTCGTATGCCTCATGGAGGTTCGCTTTGTAAATCTTTTTATGCTTTTTGACTATTATATTAAAATTTCATATGAATTTGTAAGTACGCTAACTTATAATGAAAAAAAAAATTAGATTATCACCTCTAGTCCCATACATTACCATAACTTTCTTCGCATGTCATTATCTCGTTTATACGTTCAGGTGGTAAATAGTCTGATATGGCTTCAGTGAAAGTTACCTTTCTTTGTAAAAAGGAAGTGCATTTCTCTTTGCAGATTGCTTATGGAATCTTCCTTTGCTTCTTCACATTCGTTGTTTTGGTAAAAATGCGACCCGAACCATCTTGGCAAGAAGTGTACGTGATTGCATATATTGTCACTCTCGCCGTTGAAAAGATTCGAGAGGTACGTTTTTTCAGCAGCAAGTTCGCTCTTCAAGCCATTGCTAACGAGGGTCCCTTTTATTTGGTTTCGTTTCACAGGCGATGATGTCCGAGCCTGAAAACTTTACCCAGAAGATTATTGTGTGGGCCGTGAAAAAGTGGAATCCCTGCGATGTAGTTGTCATCGTAGTCTTCCTGGTGGGCGTTGCTCTTCGCTTCACCCCTTCCAGTCACGCGGAGGGACGCTTACTCTACTGCCTCACCATCATGTACTGGTACATTCGTCTGCTGGACATTCTCAGTGTCAACAAGTACCTTGGTCCATACGTCACCATGATTGGCAAAATGGTGAGATGTTTTTTTTTTCTATGTTTTTATTGCGGATGTCACTCTATTGTTAAGGGGATTTTGAACTTAAATAAGTAAATTGAGCTTGGGTTTTAATTAATCATGAGCAGTTGAACTTAGCTCAATTCTCATTTTTGATGAGTAGGAGAGCCGATTGGTAGAAATGGTAACCGCCTTTTAAAGATATATTGTACCAGTAGTCAACATTAAAACATGTATAAATACGTAGCAGAAAATTACCATCTTGATATAAGTGTCTGCTAGACACCATGAATTCGCATTTAATCGGCAGGCAAGCTGCCATCATTATTCTAAATATTTATTTCTTTAACACCTTACAGTTTTGAAGCTATTGCAACGCTAAGCAAGTAATATATAACTTGTGTGTAATAATTTAAAAAAAATTATTTTTTGCTTTTGTGTTGTTACACTGAGTGAGTTGCTCAATTTCGCTGATGAATGCTGAGTTTGTAGGCGAGCTATACTCCGTTGCGCTTTAAATATAATTGCAGTCAAAAACTAGAGAGAACGAAAACACGCACACACTGTACCAAATCACATCGTCACGGCACCATTTTTTTATTTTGGTTAGATTATGAAAAAAATGACAGAAGCACAGAGATATGAAAGAAATGGCTTTGCCCTCCCAAGGCTTCTTGATTGGCTCCATCGGCTCCTAGCGTCAGGTGCGCTCCATCGTCAGATAAAATGAAGTATATCGTATTTCACGCAGCGTGAAACACCGAGATGGGGAAAATACGCACAAAAATAGCTCGCCTAAAAGTCAAAACATTCGGTGCGTATCATTTACTTGCGATGCTTTGTCTCCTCTTCGGACTTGAACGCGTGTATAATTTGCTCTGTTTAAATAATTGATAACGAACGAATGTATTATCTAAACTTACAACGTTTAGGTAATTCATTAGCTAAACTTACAAATTACACAGGCGCAGATAAGGGCTGTTGGTGTGATCTTGTAAGACGTGAGATCTAAAATGAATGTCTTCGTTAATATGAGGCTAGCGTCCGACTTGCTTACTCCCGCCACTTTCGTATTTTGGGCATCTATGCTTTTTTCAAAAAGAGCAGCAAATTAAGATTGACTAAATTCTAAATATCGTGAGCTGATGCCAGATGAGTAACAATGAAGACTGTCGTAGCGCCTAACATTGCTTAATGCTTATTTGTTTGTTGTTCATTGCAGGTGATAAACATGATGTATTTTGTGGTGCTTCTTCTGGTGATTCTGATGAGTTACGGCGTCGCTAGGCAATCCATTCTACACCCCCAGGAGACAGCGTCATGGGGTCTAGTAAAAAATATATTCTTCATGCCGTACTGGATGATTTATGGCGAAGTCTTCGCAGACAGCATTGATCGTGAGTGCCTTACAGGTCGCTTCTTATTTTTCGCCCCATGTTTAATCACTCGCAAGATGCACTATTTCCGAGCTCAAATTGTGAAATGACTTCGTGAACTCTTTGTTAGGCCCTGATTCACGTTGAGGCGGATGTTCTGTAATAGCTTATGCTAGATACTAGCGAAAGTGAGGTCACTTTACTCCAAACATGTGAACTTTTAAGCGACACGAGTGATATCAAATTACTGAGGGGGCTCTGAATTGTCAATGACTTTTATAACCAAGGAATTCGCATAAGAATACGTATGTGTGTAAGCATATGCTTCGACATGTCTTTATATGGTAAAATGACTTTACATGCAGCAAATGTTTTAAAAACGATGTTATAGTCCGTTGTAACATCATAACTGCAGGAAAGCTCCTCCTACTCTTAATTCATAAAGCGAAGTTTCATCACACCAATCAGTAGGATCCCATTCTATTTCGTGTCATCACAAAAATTTGTCGTGACCAATTTTTTTTTTTTTAAGATTGGCGCTTAAGAATGCGATGCATCGCCAGTGTTTTGGCTCTAGTTTACACTGAAAGAATAAAAACACGAAAATGGAGGAGGGACAGACACTCACAGTTCATAGTTCTTGAAGGAACTGTGAGTGGCTGTACCTCGTTCATTTCAGTGTTTTAATTATTTCTGCATGAACTATATATAATTTACCCAACACGCTCTGCTACGTGTAGTTGCCTCGGCTCATCGAACAATAAGCATTGAATTTTTTTCGCAGCCCCAGTCTTCCTAATATTTTATACGTTCCAACAAATTGAAGCAAAATTTAGTGAATAAAAATGATTTTTTTTTCAACACACCACGATATTTGTGATTCGTAAGATACAAGGAATAACTCTGCATTTTTTCGAACTTTTTTTAGACAGGTTAATGTTTTGTTATGATTGCAAATAAATCGTTTTTATTGCCAGTATATATTTGTTTTTGTTTCTACTTATTATGCGCTTGACACCATACGAAAGACAGATGCTTTGCCTGCATGTTTGTAGGTCCGTTGTTCTATATATAATTGAGGCGATTTGACTGTTTATTAGCACATAAAATGAACCGACAATGATAAATATGATGATGATGACGGGTGATTATTATGGTAACAGAAGTTCCCTTTTACGGACCGGCAGCCGTGTGCAAGACGGACGGCAAACCGGGAGAATACACCTGCCAGACGGGAAGCTGGATTAATCCGGCCATCATGGCGGTCTACCTCCTGGTCGCTAACATTCTCCTGGTCAACCTGCTTATCGCTGTCTTCAAGTAAGTTTCAGTCAAATAAAATGCGTACAAAACAAATCACAACACTTAAGAACGGTGTTACGCCGAATGTAGCATTGTAACTCGCGGAGATGACCATAGTGACAGTATCTAAGTGTTTACTTTTGATTATCAGTAGATTCCTACTTTTAAGACTGGAGTAATGTCATCAAAATATTAAGTAGGGTTCCCCGTCGTGCCTTGTTTGTTCTACTGCTTTGCTGCGCTGATATGTTAGGTGAGAGGGTGTGGCAGGTTAATACAAGCAACTGTGTGCAATGTGCTATTTATTTATCCAAAACACCTTCTGTGGTTCTCGCCTTAACTAATTTTGACTTGCAGTTTAGTGTCGTATTAACATAAAATGTTTATTTATAATGACGTGCTTGCGCAGTTTTGGGGATTGGATTGAAAACCAAGCGCATAAGATTGCCAGATAATCTGAAGCATGCAAAACAGATATAAAATGGCAACGACGGTGTCATTGTAAATTCAGTATGGTAGATCTTTTTTTAGCAGTAGTAGTCGGCTTTACAAAATAAAGGTTAACAAAAGACAAGTTCATTGATGGTCAAAAAAAAAAAAGAAAAAAAAGAACGGTAAACACTTACGCTACTCATAAGGCAAAACAAAGCGACAGCTGAGGTTAACGTCGGGGCCGATAAGTTGTCATTTCGGAGCAGATGGACTGAATGAATAGTAAAGCTGCGAGCGTGCATCATCGAGTACAGATAGGCGTTTCGTATTAAACTGATTAACACAGCGGACGAAAATTCCATAGTTTTTTGGAACCAATGAGGGTGTATTAAGTATATAGCACTTTGTGAACCTTTTAAACAAATTTGTTGGACAAAATCTATGACTGCTTTGTGGTATGTAAAGAACACGTCGAAAATCGCGAGCCCAAGTTTTAAATCCGGGGAACGACGAAAGTGCATGTGGATACATGGACCTTTTCCTGCCGTTGCTGTGGCTGCCTGAACGTGTTACGCAATACTATAGGACATAAACTAACACCGCCTTGAGGTCACTGAAGAACACTTACAAAATCGCGCACTCAAGGGTTTAGCGTGCAGCTCCACATAATTTCACGCCCGTGCTTTCTCCGGCTTAACACCCACCTAGCTTTATTCGTTTCATAGCCCGAGAACCTTTCTGACATAATTAGCAAAAACCGCCGTGTTCTTATTGTTTCAATATTCAGCAGCCTCGTGCTTATGTTTCTTCGTGCCGTCATGGTGTCACGTGACGACGTATAGTCGTGACGTCATGACATCACGCGACTCACGGTGTCACATGACATCATAAAGTCGCGTGTCGTCACTGTGCGACGTGACTTGAGATGGCAACGTCACTTCATGTAATAGGTGACGTAATGTGCAGCGTGATGTCAGAGTTATGTCGAGTGGCGTGACGTCGAAGACCTGACGTCACGTGGGGAATATTTTGGCGGAGTGCCAAAAGTGGCCCGCGGCGATCTGAAGCGCGGTCGACGGCGCGAAACCCGCGAAGTGTCCCATTAATTAATATCGCGGTAATCATCTGTTACCCTGGACAATCAACATTTTGAGGCAAGCCATTTGTGAAGGCTGGATTGCGAGGAATGAATGATTCTAATAAATAAATGATCAATCCAAGAAGCAAGCTCCCACTAGCTGGACTTGATGCAACATAAACCAGTCAAATGGAACAAGCACAAGTTACTCATGTCACGTGCCAACTACTCGCAAATCTAATGAGAGACCCTTTGGTTGCGATTCTTCCACAGCAACATCTTCATCGAAGTCAACGCCATTTCACAGCACGTGTGGAAGTCGCAGCGCTTCACCGTGGTCATGGAGTACGAGCAGAAGCCCGTGCTTCCTCCGCCGCTGATCGTGCTGTCGCACCTCCACCTGGCCGTCAAGTGCGGCTACCGCTGGTGGAAGGGAAAGAGCCGCACCTTCGACCACGGCCTCAAGCTCTTTCTGGACGAATCGGACATCGAGAGGATCCACGACTTCGAGCAGGAGTGCGTCGAGGGATACTTCCGCGAGAGCGAGGTCCGCATGCAGATGACCACCGAGAACAGGGTCCTCACCACCACCGAGAGGTACGGCCGAACTGCATATGCACTCACTGACAGCTCAAGAACCGCAGGGCGGGGCTTAAGATGTTCGTACTTGTCGATTCGGGATCGGCCAATGCGTCAATCTTAGAACAAAGAGATATTGCTGCACCAGCCAATAGCAATTTCAAAGAGCGAATCACGAGTGGAAAAAGCGAGAATATAATAAGCGACGCCATGCGTTACTTAACTTGTCAATGGCTATGAACCTTTCCAAGAAACACACGACCCCAGGGCTAAAAGAACCCTTTTCGAGCCTATTCGCTGTGTTCGAGGCTAGTCTCTCATTGGCGTTCCTGCTAACCCTAACCATGTGAATTGTTAATTTCGATAGGCGCAGGCTGCATTGGCGTAATTTCAGGCACTGTTCACGGCTAAATTCTCGCCTTTTCCCGCTGTATTTTTTTATTTTTGCTTTTCATGGTTTATGATTTTTTCTGATGACTATCATAAAGCATTGCACATGTCTAAAAAAAACAACAAAAAACGAGGAATAACCTATTATCAGGGTACGTGCCTGACCGAGCGAATCCGACTGAAATATTTGTTTTTCTTGACATTGAGTTTTAACGGCGCCGCCCGCTCAGCCGTTTCAATAGACGAAGCGCTTAGCTGTCGAAAATAATCTACGAAAAAATATATCCCAAATTCGTGAATATTTTAGACCCTCAAATAAAGTGATTACCGATCTACACGAGATGACTCGGACATTAAATTCAGCGTGTGTCAACATTCGGACAATATATTGTGCGTACCAACGGGTGCAGCGTTATAAAAAAAAAAAAGAAAAAAAAAACATTATTTGAGAAAGATATTAAGTAACACAGCACAGCAGTGTTGACAAAAGTCACATCTCGAAGATCGGGCGGAATTCAAGGGGAGCTCATTTTGGGCACGATTTGGGGAGAGCTTCTTTTTTTCCCCACACCAGCATCAAGGCAAAGGAACGGACGCCAACTGGTTCGCTCCCCACCTCAACCCAAACGGCTATTTTTGGCGATGACTGAGAAGATCTCTACGTGGATTATCTCTGGGACTGGGGAGAACAACTGCCATTGTTCGCAAAATCGCGTCGAGGGCCGTTCAACGTTTTTCCCTTCCTTCGTTTCGCGTGAATGTCGAGCAGAAGCGCTTGACTGAATTGCGCTCACCGGCCTTATATGTCAAAGTTGAAGATAACGCGAAAAGGGTACGCGACATGAACAATTAATGAAAATAAAGTGGAAACTTTTAATAAAAGGGTTGGAAAACCTGAAATGAAAACCAGCAAAACATGGGTGGAAAATCGCCCTGAGGGAATTTCAACAGTCCTAAAGAATCGCAGAAAATGTCTGGCTGAGAGGGGGCGCGAGAGTTGCACCAGCGGAATCCTCGTCACCACCATGACGGCGGCATAGGGGCGATTTTCGGAAATGTGTACAGTTGATTTTGAGCCATTTTATTGAACGAGTGGGCATACGTTGGAAGGCGTACATTTCGTATCCTTTTGTTTTAATGACAGATAAAGCATAACAGCGCCCGATTTTTACGAATAACTTAACGGTTGAAGTTTTGTTCGCCGTCTTGCTAAACTCGAGCAAGCCTCTTTAGATGTACTTGGATGGAATAGTTCATGCGTGCCTTTTAATTTTGTTTCACATTTCGATCGTACTTTTCCAATTAATTATTTTGGTGTAGGCGGCGAGAAAGAAAACCGATAGGGTTTCAGTACGAAATAATTCTCTCAGTATTTTGTCTTGGTACTGCAACCACTTCTTTGCATGAACGCGTGTGCCTAGTATAATGGTACAAAGCCATAACATACGACACATTGGTTACACAATGAATATGCGAAATTACTTTATGATACCTCAATTACAAACGCTTGGGTTGTTGTGAGGTGGCTATGATATCCAGTTCTCAAGGAATGCACTATACTAAGCAAGCAAAAATTTCGGTCGCTTCAAAGACCATCATTGTTGCTATAGCCAATGAAATTGCGAAATGGGCCGATGAACACGCTGACGGGCGAGTCGGGATGCAAACCTCATGAACATATTAAACCATAATAATAACCATGATAATAAACACTAAACTTTTTAAACTGTCGGTGGCTGCAGATGGTGTAAATGCTTCCTTGATTAAAGTATGTTAGTCTGTTTAGACGAATCGGTAAAGCTTCAGATTAGTTCTGTGTCCAGATAGGGGCTAAATATCTTAATCGTTTTTCTTCACATGCAGAGTCGATTCCATGTCGCAACGGGTAGAGGACATCCACCAATGGGAGATGAAGGCGAACGCAGCTATACAGAGTCTCGACATTCGACTAACGCAACTTGAAAGCCTCTCCGAACAAATCTCCACGTCTCTCCAACGCTTCATCGAGGCCCAAGACACCGACGACGAAGACGACGACATAGACGGTACTCCTTCAGGCGACAGCGACGCGCAAGCCACTCCCTCGGGGCCTCACAGTCCTTCACCGCCGACTCCTCCTCCTCCCCCTCCTCCCGGGATCCAAGCCCCGACCATACCTCAACAATCGAAGTCGGATGAAGAACAAGGTATAGTTCCTCCCACTGTGGTTGTGGAGCTCTCGGAGCCCGCACTCCCGCCGACCACGTCAGAACCCCTAGCGAGACAAGGATCAGGACGCCGAAGAGGCACCTCTATACGCCGCCGGAACCACCAACGCCTCAGCCGGCAGCTGACGCTCGCGACGAACGAAGTATTCGACCAAGCTACAGTGAGACGAAAAAACCTTCAACGCTGGCAAAGTGTGTGCCAACCAGAGGTTGCAACCGGAACCGATCCGCTTCTGCAACAGCCTGCCGCCAGGCCTAGCCGCCTGGAGCGCGGGATGTCTTGTGTAAGCAGATGGACCGAACCACGGCCTTCGTCTACGAGGGCTCCTTTCCTCTCGACGCTCCGTGGAGAGTACACGAGCATCACCGACGAGCTGGAGAGTACGGCCTGTCTTCTGCCACCTCCAGAGAGCCCTACGTCACCGGCACCCACGCCAATGGTCGCGGCCATAGCAGCCGAGACAGAGATCCTGAGAGATGCAGAGGCGGCCGATTACCAGATGATGGGTGGACTCATTCAGAGGCGTCTACACGGAGATGACCAGTCTCTAGAGGAACTCAGTGACTTCGGAGATGACTCCGACGTCGAGGAAATTGTTGGATCCGGGTCTAGGCGGCTGATGATCCGAGTGACGCCTGCTCCTGAAGAGGGCAGGAGAGGCAGCTTCCCCACAGAAACGTCATGTTAGTTTCCTTTTGTAGGCTCCTGCTCCTTCCATCTTCAAATGTGTTCAGTCATTTGAGGAGTTGATAAATCTATTCCATTTTTTTTTTCAGACGCCGTGGGTAGTCAAAATCTTACAATGCTGGCGTCGCAGCGAGTGTTTGGCAAACGCGACAGAGGACGACAATTAGATTGCAGAAATTAGCAAATAATATTAATAATAGTATCGAGCCAGTCGACCGATCGATTATTCATAAGAGTGCGGTGACAACTTTAAAAAAAGAACTTTTGTAAAATTATACCTCTTTCATCAGAAAATGCCTATCCTAAAAGGGACAATGTGCACCCAGCAAAGGCTTGCGTTGTGAGACAAAACAGCGATATTTAGACCACAAAACGTCGAAGGGTGCTTCGGTATAAAATCTCCCGTGCTTAGTGTGAGTATACGTTTTAGCAAGTTTGGCATGTCGGAACTCAGAGAACGAATTTTCGGTGTAGGCATGTAAATATATAGATGATGGAACGAATTTTTCTCTTGAGAATTGTGTTTTGAAACTTTGGGACAGTGAGATTTCTTGTCGTAGCTTTGACATTTATGCGCACTGAAGAAATACTTCACTAAAACCCCTAAATGTTGGTTATAAATTAATCCCGAGGACAAACATATGCATTATCAAGGATAATCCGCAGTATAAGAAAGTTTTGTCGTCTACGAAAGTATAAGTCACCCACTATTTAATTCAAATCATGCATACTGTACGGTGCTTATATTGTTTAGGGATCATCAGTTGTTAAGGGCTCTAAATTCAATTATGTTTTGAGTAAGCCTGTACATTGTGGTAGGATATGTTGATAAGGATGATGAAATGGTACCCTCGAATGTCGAAACTCAAATGAAATCATGTGCTAAAGTAAATTTCAATTTATTATTTAAGCATGACATTATCCTTTATTGGCAGGTGCCTTAGTACTTCTAAAAATATATTGACCAGGTTAAGGTTACTATAAATAACGGGAGCTAGGGATTATAAAAAAGGATTTTTAACCATTTGTCAAACGCCGAAGGGAGCGATTACGTTCCTCTGACCAGCGCGAAATTCGGGGTTTCCATTTACCACGAGAGCCTGATTTTATAATGAATTCGACATTCGAAGATTCCAAGCCGTATCAAAGTATTCCAAATACCATGATACCGACAGGCACCCACGGACTGGAGACTACAAGATAATTTTATTACATAATTATTGTATTATTGTGCGTGCTTCCATCGGTGCTTCACTTTTATCAATGTGTACGTCTGTGTTTTTCTGTGTCTATACACGACTTTACAAAGTATGGCTATCATGTACTGAGAACATTCATTGATATACTTATACAAGTTTCCACCATATTTTTATACCAGGTTGGTATCTTTATATAGTTTCACATATAACATATAACTTTTTTTCTTAAAATTGGTTGACAGTTTTGTTTAAAACTGCCTTAATATTTTTAGGTAGGTTTTAATTTGTGTGCATAAATTTAAAGAAGCGAAACTATTTATAAGAAATATATACAAGAACCTGTTTCAGATATAAAATTAGGGTATTAAGATAGTTTCTGAAGGAAAATTTAGAGCAACCGGACTCAAGGAAGAATAGAAAAAAGCTCAAAGCTATGTTAGATGTGACAATTCATTTTCATTTCAAAAGTTCAGGCCCTTTCCAGGCTAAGCGGTTACTGATTTATTTGAAGTATAAAATGTTATTCTTTCACAGACCCCTACGTTGCAGACGGAACATACTACACATTTTTTACCACATGCTTTGTCGTCGTATTGTTTTTACAAACGCTTACATTCCTATTCTTATATCGGTTATGATTACCTATAATGATCTACAATATTTCACTTAGCATTAGAAATTGTTTACATGCTACAAATGAGGAAGTCCTGAATGACATATCTTAGGCTCCTTTAGCGTGTATATAATAGAAGCGGGTTTGTGTTTTACACTAACAACTGGCTGGTTCCTAAACCAAACCAAGTACTGAATAAGACACGAAGAAACGTGACAACCTAATATCCATATCTGTAGGGTAGTTTTTAATATTATGATGAATATTTTTACTAGCGCATAGTTGATTCCGTTTGTGGATCACTGAACTCCTAGTTAAAAGCTTTAATTTTTGGAGTGGGCTAAGAGTCTTTTCTTTTGTTGACACATAGTATCAGAGTTTTGTGATATCAGAAACTTAAACTAGAAACACGCTGAATTCGGAATAGTAAAGGCTGGCTGACTCACTTGCGTTTGAGTGATATCAAGTGTGCTGAGGTCAATTGTGATCACATACGACGACAAAACAGGACAACGCAAATAACGCACTGGTACGCGGGCCCCATCTATTTGGTCTTGCCCTAAAACGGCATATAGCAAGTCTGACGGTTTTTTACACCTACTACTGCCGGTTTGATACACCTACTGCTAAGAGCAGAACGCACTCAGGTACATTCAATTGCGAGCGTGTTAACCAGACCTAAGGACACAGACTTGCTGGATTAGTGCTAAGGTGTGTTGTTGTTCAGGTCTAGACATAAAGTTTTGTGTGTTTGTTCCTGGTTTTCAAGCGATGTTTCGAGGATAAGTTTTAATATGGCGGTCAATGAAGGCAATACTTCGAAGTTTACACTATTTACTCCCTCTCGTGTTTCAAGAGGGGTATTGATATTGCTCCCCTTCTAGCCTTTTCTGGACATTTCGATGGGTGCTGCTTCCTAATTTTAGATCCAAACAGAAATGTATAATGAGGACCAATTACAGAAAAATTACTTTCGAACCATATATGAAGAATTTACTACGGTAGTAAAATAACCGAATAATTATATAAAAAGATAATCAATCGAGTCAGAACACACACTGTATGTTTAAAATGAGCCGTGAATTAGTATTGCAAAGTTACCATTGACACAGCAATAGGTTTACTTTATTATGTAATTACCAGTTCAGATCAATTCCTGGTCAATATAGTGCACCATACCTTGTGTTTTGTTTCTTACGAGGAACGTATTTGAATACACCTGTTGAGTTTAGTTGTAAATAGGTACTTTCGAACAATATTTACCTTCTTTGCACCTTATAATGAGCAGCAAACCTCAGTAAAATACAGACTATTCTATCGGTTCCAGCGGGTGTCGCTGCGACAGGATAAGAGGTAAATAATGAAATGAAAGGACTGTGATAACTACTGTTGTACACATTACGGTATGAAGAATGTATATAAGGTGTTACATATTTGGCTAGTCATTATGAAACGAGAATATATATTTCAAAGTGTTGAAGACTGTTAGCTGTGAGCTAAAATGATGCAGACTATTCAATAACATCTTGTTTTTCCTGGACATAGCTCGTAGCCACCAGGAGAGGCATGGTAGTAAAAGTAAATCTTCATAAATATCACGGTATAAATCTTTTCCTTCCAGGTTTTTACGTACATGATATTAAGCACTAAATACATGCACGAATAGGAATATAGGTAGTGTTTTGGAGGCAGTTAGATTCTACGGCTTTGAATTCAACCTAATACTGACACCTGAGGCTATTTAACATGCTTAGTATATTCTAAACAGTATTGCTGTAAATCTGTAGAAACAGTTTTGTTTAATCATTATCTAAAGAAAATTAAGCTAGAAAAACAAAAAGAGTGGTCAGAATAGGAAATTTGTAGTATTGGGAGTTTATATGCTGCATCACAGAAAAACAGTAGGCCCAAATTATCCACACTTAGCTTGCTCAAAAATTAACTCAAGGAAGCTGAATAAAAAGTTTAACCAAGTGAAACATTGGCATAAAAGTATTAGACGTAAAGCGTGGTTAGACTTCAGTTTGCAATTACAAATTGGCTCTTGTCTTAACAATGAACCCTTTTTCTGTCACAAGTTCGTTCACCAAAAGATAGAGCATAACAAACATTGTAAGAGTTTCTTATTAAAAGTGCTTTCGTGTAAATTAACGAGACGGCGTATACACATAAAAACACCGCTAAAAAATTGAACTTACTAAAATACACAAGACCCTGATTTAAAAAAAAAAGAGAGCAAAATTTATTTAATTAGAGTAAATAGACCTCGAACCTATTTTTTTTTACACTGGGTACTACGTAAGGCTGTTATTGCATTTGTCTGAAAATTTTTGTCTCCTTAGGTTTACACTTTTACTTACTCTAATGTGCGTCTTGAAAATGTGATCTTCCTTCATAAAGAAATATACCAGAGAGTGTAAACGCCACCAGGCCAACGCACGCAAAACCTGTTTCAAACGCATGTGCTTTTGACAATGCTTGAGTGTTCTGTCTTGATTGTGTAGAGAGCCCTGAAGTTTACTTTATGACCTCCAAACAGAAGCTTGTGCCCTTACATTTGGTATCCGTCTTCGCTTCTTGGCTTCATAACCATGCTCGTACATGGTCAACCTCCATATCAAAATAAGTGAAGTGGGAATTTATTACATCAAAGCGTTTTGTGCATTTCCACACGAGACACCTTAGATAGCCAGAGCACCAATGTTTACAAGACACAGCCTAACCGAATTTTACCAACGTCCCAGTTGTTCCTGAAAAAGGTATGTTGATATTAATGTAAGATAACTCTGTATGATAAAACTGCCGTTGGTATTATCACTAAGCGACGTTATTTCTTGAGCGTCAGGCCTCTTTGTATCCCATAAAGAATTGTATCATGACCGCCGAACCTTTACCGACCACTGTTCCTGTTACGAGGTGATGTTGATGAATTTTACCTGTAGATATCACATGGTTATTTTACATTTTGAAAGGCAATAAATTCTTCTAGAAAACGTCTTCTATGAATCCTTTATTGTGCATTGCCTGTGAGAGTTTTTGATCTTTTGTTCAGGTTGTTGCAATTTTTTTAATAACATGTTTGTACATTTTAGAAAACTCACTGGCTTTACCTTTTCCGAATTTTATTATCTCTAAAGCAATCCACGAAGACTGTCGAACACTTTCCAGGTGAGTTCAGTATCCATGGTAATAAAACCTGAGTCGGGGGTTTTATTACCATGAATCACCACCAGCAAGCTTGTTTTTTAAGTATTGTTGAGTTCAGTATAATATTGTGTAAAAAAGTGGGCGAAGTACTCAGACTTATGATGTCTAACCATTTACAAAGTCAGTGTGTTTGCTCTAGCCAGCCAAACGTGGCTTCTGCAA